AATAGTAATCCTTTAATGACCCCAATTTTTTGGCTCATTGGATGATTCGAATTGTAATTTATACATCTACCAGAGCTTGTGGGTTTCACATACCAGTTCGTTACAATGGAACCGTCTTCATTTCTTATAATATTCATATCTAGGAAGGGTAAGGTTCCATTATTTTCTACCTCCATTGTGAATTAGATCCTATTATTGACACTATTTATACTATAATTTACTGTAATGTATGACTCGGAAAATAAAATAATATGTATTGACGCGTGAACTAAGTGATCGAGGTAAAAAATTAAAGTTTATTTATTGTAATGTTTATATATCTTTTTAACAAGTCATAATTAATAATAAAAAAAAAAAAATTTGTAGTTGCTGAGGAAGTCCCCAGTAAGGGACGAAACGTTCAACAAGGTCATAATAAATTGTTCATCAAATTTATTAAATGTCTTTAATTTCCCTTTGAAACTCATATATATTAAAGTTAACATTATCAAATACAATTAATATTACTTATTGTAAAAACGAAATAAAATTTATATTGTATTGGATTGGATTGGATTGCCTGAAATATTGGTGTTTAATTTATAAATTGGTAAATAATTAATATAAATTTTCTATAAAATAAATATATTATATTCATCTAAAAACTCTGGCGAATTTATCTGGGTAATCTAATAATAATTTCTTAACCGTGAGCTTCAAGAAACTACTACTATTACAGTAAATAATATTATAATAATAACTTTGCCAATTTTATACTTAACAAAATCACACATGGGAGCTTAAGTATACACGTGATCGGTCAATAATGTGTTAACATTTGAAAGATTCTTTGACAATTCAACAAAACACACGCCACGTTGGATATATTTTTTTTACAATTGGCAGACTACCAAGAATGAAAATAAAAAGAAAATAAAAATTGTCAAAAATGTAGTAAACATATAAAATTTGAATATTTCTTTTTGAAAATTTCGTTCTTCAGTGTTTCCCTGAGTCATCGTTTGTATACACATGACACATCGAATATGCATAATAAATTGACGAGAAGAGTGTGAGAAACGTTGGATATATAGTTTTGAGCATCAGTTCACAATCGACTTAGGCTCTCACGTTTCTTGCTGACTCTTGCAGCTATGCGGCCTGTTAAAAGCACGGCTCTCTTCCGTTCTACAAGATGAACTGTCACGTTTCCTAGCACTATCGAGAAAGTCTTACTAGAACACAGACTTCACTTTGTCGGCCTGGATAATTTCTTAGACTTTTTATTCTCTTTTTTTTCCCCTCCATTTCTTTTCAATTCATTCAAATTACTCTTCTCTATTTAATAATTATGTATGTTTTTTTTTGTTTTTTTTTTCTTTTTTTTTTTGAAATTGAAAATAAAGTATTATCAAAGTCATAAAATACGTAACATATGATAATGAACTTGAAATTATTCCTACGTTTGTGATTCAACATTCAAATTATTTTTTTATCGTTGCTGAAAGCGAGACAAAGATTTAAAGAGATGACAAGAAGATGGCTTAGAAAGAAAATGTATGGTCGACTATCGTCTATAAATACGTTCGCTTATACCGCTATTGTCATTCTGAACAACATAACTCTGTTACGTTACCACTCGTAATACGTACTGTTTGGCCGTGAAGAGAGAGAGAGAGAGAGAAAGAGAAAAGACATATAGTAGTATTTTATAGCGTGATGATAGTATCTCTCATTTCTAAAAAAATGTGTTTTTTTCAGATTTGTTTTTAAAAATATATAAATAATATATTTGAGAGTTTATATGAAAAATGTATTTTTGAAATTATATAAAAAGAAAGTTAGTTAGTATTCTTTTAAAAATTATGCGTATGTACATATACACTGTAATTTTATTAATAATATATAATAATTAGTAATATTATGAAACCTTATTCAGGACTTCATCAATCCGGTATGGTCTAGTGGCTAGGATACCTGGCTCTCACCCAGGCGGCCCGGGTTCGATTCCCGGTACCGGAACATCCCTTTTTTTTAGCTCTTTCTTTTTTCACATTTTTTTAAACATACCATTTCATCTTTTGCTATCCCATGTATTTTAATATATTTTTTTCATATGTTTTATTTTCTATTCCTAATAATGTTTCAGCACCATTAATATATTTTTTACTAGATATTACATGCAAAAAAATAAAACAGAAAATACTATTTATATCAATGATTTGTACAATTTCATTCTTTAAAAATTACATAAATTCCATGAAAAAAAATAAAATCGTTATTGGTGTGAATTAGGTGTTAATTTTATTAATAATATATTATACAAGAGAATTATTTTCGAAATATTGTATTATAAAATTTATTATCAATCGTTACTTTTTATTGGAAAATTTCATTCCGATCGATACGTTTAAATTCCATTGATATTATCTGAAATTCTATCAGACCCCGTTAACAATACTTTTATCAAAGATTCCATATCGGTAGAAGAGAACGTTAATTAAATGAAACGTTCGAAATCGATCAGAACACGTGTCGTCATTGCCTTGTTTGAAAATGCAATAATCACGGGACATGAGACCGTATTTGTTAGATACGAAGTATATAAGTATATATATATGTACTTAGTATAAACGTAAACGTTCGAGGTGGGAACTCTCAAAAAGGATTCGTTTCCGTGCAGGAAATTGTCAAGGACTGTCCCTCGAAGCGATAACTACTAACTGGAACGAACGGATGGTTACCTTTTCGTTCTCTTTCAAAGTCGCGAAAGAGTTACTTAATTAACGATACGGGGAGTCAACTAATTTCATTCATTCATTCATTTATTTAATTTTCTTTTCTATTTTATAGAACTATATATTTTATCTTTTTTATTTATCGAGAATTATTTACCGACAAATATAGGAAAAATTTAATGAAGTAATTTAATTAAAAAATGAAATGCATTTTTTTTCTCTTGTTCATTAGTGATTTTTCCATCGATAAAATGATTGTATACGAAACCAATTAACGACAACCCTATTATCTCGTAGTAATTAAAAAAATTCTACCCTTTTTTGTATTGAGAATAATTTAGTAACAAATACGGTAATATTTAATGAAGTAATTTGATAAAATAAAACGTGCTTTTTCTCTCTTTCTTTCTTATTAGCGGTTTTTTTTTTAATCGATAAATTATCATCGAATACGAAAATGATTCACGGTCGCCTATTATCTTGTAAAAAGAATCGATCGATCATTGGATAATCTCAATGTATGTATCTATTGGCGTTTACAAAGCTTTCAATGGAACTCGATTGAGATCCCCTTGTTATCGAGGAAAGGCTTGGCCTATGTTTCGAGAAGAAAGAAAACAATTCTGTTATCGAACGATGTAATCTTTCAATCGAGTTTTAAATCGATGCAAACGATTTTGCAAATTCGTTCTATTACGAGCTTTATCTCGATTATTAGATGTTTTTCATCTTTTTTCTTTTTTTTTTTTTTTTTATTTCCTTTTCTTTATTCTTTTTTCACGTAATTTTCTCCTTTTCTGATTTCAATGTAGATGATGACGACGTAGTTCGATCGAAAATGCCAATCATCATGGGGCTACAGCAGCAAGCTGCATCCCAGGACACCGTTGATTTCGTCGATTATTTGAAACCGTCTACCCAATATCATCAGATCCATGGGAGTTTATCGCAAAATGAATCAAAATCATCACATAGAGACCATAATACCAGTTTTACCAGCACAAAGGGTTTGCTCAATGGACCGGGTCAAAATAATTGTTTTCTCAACAGTGCTGTACAAGTAAGTGATATTTTAATATGTTAAAAAATTGAAGAATGTTTGGTATGAAGTTAGTCGTTTATTTTTCTAACAAAGTTGCAAAAATATATTATATAAATAAGTTTTATTAAAACCGATTCATAACATAATTGAGAAAACTTTCAGAACGCCTATAGAATATTTCAATCTCTAAGTTTCATCGTAATATAGCCGCACCATTTGCTTTCAGTATTACCTTACATACTCTTACAATTAGTCTCCTAACTTCTGCAGTTTTGTAAAAGTAATTTGTTTTAAGAAATAATTAAGACTGAAAATACTTTTGCTGCACGAATTAAGTTTTTTTTTTGAATATATGAAACATTAAATTTGAAAGTTAATATTAATATTTTTTTTAACAAACAATTAATTTTCTATACAAATATTAAAAACAATTAGATAGAATACTTATTAAAGACAATTTTTTATCATCTTGTAAGATGTTCAAATAATTTTGACCAATTGTTTTTATATGCATAATTCGTTTTGCACGAATTTACCACCATTCGTTGACAAGAGACACGTGCGCCTGATGATATGAAACCCGTTATTCGTCTACGTAGTCTAGTGACAAAGCGCAAACTCCACGTTTAAAAAGTCGAACAGTTGTTGACTTACTTTCTATCGCAATCGATTTCTTTTTTTTTTCTAACTAAACGAGCCACTTTTTCTTTTTTTTTTTTTTATTTTCTTTTTTTATTGCCATTCACCATTATTATATTTCGATCGATTTATAATAATTTTATACTCGCAGATATAAATTTTTTTTCTTTTTTTTTTTTATTTATACGGAATAATGTTTTAGGTTTCTCCTTTTTTTTTCTTTTTTGGACAGAAGAAAAATAACGAAATGATTTTCTTCATTCGAAGTAGCAGTCACGTAAACTTCAAGATTTTCTTCGATTCTGTTCACCGTTAGTTCGTGCTTGGTAAATAGTTCTGTCGTCTTAAGGAAATATTGGGATAGATGGAATACAATGGTCATGCTTAAAGATTTTTTAGGATTAAAAGCATTCGTCGTTTTTGTGTTAATTTCGAAGCCGAGCGTAAAATCAAGCGGTTTTCTGCTTTATGACATTATGACAATTTGACGAAAAAATATGGAAGAAAAGTTGTTCAAATAAAATGTCTTTTTTTATACTGAAAGAATATAAGAAAGATTTTATTTCAATATCGCATACATACGAACATCTATGCATACAGATATTCCAATGTTTTCAATTGCATATTTTTTTTTTCTCTCTTACTGAACATACAAATTGTTTCTATGTTGAGCTCAAAACTTTTCAACCCGTTCACGTATTTTATTTCAAGGTCACGTAGTAGGATATATACACGTATAAGGATTTTTAATTAGATTGATATTTTGTATTTCTTCGAAATTGAATTTCTAATTGTCTAATATAAAGATTCGATTATTTATCAAGTAGTATTCGTTGCATGGAGCACGCGTTAGCCATACCGCGTCTTACGTGACACGTGATACAAGTGTTTTAAGTATAAACCGCGTACGCAACCAGGGTGTGGTAACTGCTTTGTCTCGTGTTACGAATAGAAAACGAATGCATAGGAGATGGTAATTCACCGCACGGTTGTATCGGTACATCAGCATCAATATCCATCAATAGATTAGTTTGTTAATTTTTTATTGACTTTCTCAACGATAACTTTCGAAATATCGAAAATATATTTAATTTGATTTAAGTCCTGATATGATTTTTTTTCCTTTTTTATTTACAGGAAGTATTATTTTGTAAACAAAAAATATCATTATAAAAAAATTACATGCTAATGATAGGTTTTCTAGTTTCGCATGATAAAAATTCCACAAAAAAATCAGCAAGTATTATTTTTTTTTTTAATCAAAATGGTATCATACCTCAAATAACAAATTACGATAGATAGAAGATTCATTGGTAAATGTTTGTTTTAATTTTCTTTTGTCATTGATAATTTTCGAATAATTAAAAATAGGTGATGATGATCAACGATTGATGACGTCATGATAAATTGAAAAATTAATCATTGAATATCCTTTAATCATTGATAGATCGCCGAAACTAATTGAACATTATTTAAATCAATAAATATATTGATGGGTATATAGATTATGATCGACAGATTCACGAGATTAGATCAAACGTCTCTACTTTCGTATTCAATTGTCGTTTTAAATGTTAATGATAATCAAAACTGTAAAGTTACTTAATGAACAAGAACAAGGTATCTAACTTAGGAGAGTTTCATCTCACATCAGACGATGAATTTCATCCTTGAACGATCGTGCTCGACTCGTTCACTGGAACGTGCACAAGACGTCGTCTGTTAAACAAGCTTTCTGTTACAACCAGTAAATGCAACATATCTATACGTATACACATTACATTTTTCTTTACGAAACACTGACACATAAGTTTAACTCCTAACGTAAATATGTCTATTCTTGAGCTTGCATTCTGATAACATATTATCAACGACAAGACAAAAATGTTGGAATAATGCATCAGGTGATGATTGTGTCATGTTGAATAAAATACGACTTTGTCTATCATCCATGTACATACTTTATGTTAAACTAAAAGATAATTTTTTAAGAATGTTAAAGTAAAAAAGAAAATGTTATACAATAAATATACAAGATTTGATTTACATTTAAGAAAGTTAGTAATGAAGTTAGCAAATACAAGAACATTGTACATTGATTATTCATTTTTATTGATAATTACGTGTACGAGGGTCGGTTGAAAAAAGTGTAATTTTTATTATTTTTCATTTATTTATAAATTCGATTAAAAATCAAGCAATAAAAATAATAGTGTTAAGCCGATATCGGTAGCCGTAATTGCATCCCTTACAATGACGTATTGAGTTAGCAATTAAGTGAGTGCGGTTATTTTAATAATCGACAAAATTCGCAATCACTTAGTTGCCAACCCAATATTACATAAGCATAATTATATAAGACGTAAATAGATAACCAACGTGTAATATAAAATTATAAAAAGTCACAATCAAACCACGTTTTTTATAATGCGAATAATATATGATTTATTTTGACGTCAAAAATTAGAGATCAATGTGAAATTCATTCAATCACACTTCCTGAAGATTTAATCGACACCCGTTTTGACGTAGATAAAAAAAGAAATCGTTCGAATAATGGATTCATTTATGTATGAAAATACTGTACAAATAAAAAGAAAAAAGAGCTTTTTTTTCTTGGCAATTTTACAAAAGAGATCAAAAGGGGTCGAATTATCGATGAAATCCAGCTGGCGGCACGAGACCGAATCGCACCTGACCCAATCTTCTTCCTTGGAGGATTTAGCTTTAACAATTGGTGGCACACGCTGTTGTTGGACAGCGGAAAAGCACGTGCCGTCGCTAGGAAACAGCTGCTTCATGGTAGTAGCAAGGTTGATGCAGATGCAACTTCTTGAACGTCTTAAATAATGAGAAACATCCTACGCTTTACTGATGTCATGAATTTCTTTCGAAGGACGACCATCTGTGCTTTTACGATTTTCTTCATACCTGTTGATCGAGTTATCTGTTTTCTCTTAGTACGTAAAAGAGCTATGATGTCTTTGCATAAAATTCAAGTTGACTTGTAGAAAACGTAAAAGAATCAACAGGTTACGCCAAAGTATTGAAACTTTCATTACTAAAATTCAAAGATATGAAATCTATTTAATTTCATTTAATACCCGTATATATTTTAATTCACATATTTTGAAAAATTCATTCGATTTATTATATACCTAAAACTTGTTTAATAGATAATCGTTTAAGGAGTAAGTAATCTTGAACAAAGAACAAATTGTCTGTTAAATTTGTAGTCAAACAAAATGTCGGCAAACTAAAGTCCTCGTATAATGATAAGTTTCCACGGGTAATAGACGTGTCAGGGTTGGAAGAAGGAATCAGGAGTGCCTTGATGACCCTAAAGGGTCTTAGGCTTAATGTCATAAGTCGCTGGCCCATGAATCCGGGACTCGTTTCGGGGACAATGGAAGAAGACGGTAGAATTATTTGTGGTAAATGAATGAGAGAGAAAAAGATAATATAATATAAAGAAAGAGAGAGTAATCGTTCTCAACCCTCGAGGAATAAACGTAGACGCGCATGTTTAATGGCGGATGGAACCTGCTACGCAATTCGGGCTTGGGGCAGCAGGTGTATGGGAAGCGAACTAATTTCTCTGACTCATCGTCAGGTGATGAGTTTGCCTTGTTCAGCAAGGAACCGGAAGTTATTGTCCGCGAAAACTAAACCGTTTCTCTTTCTTCTTCTTCTTTAAGAAAACTTTTCCTTGATTATTTTCTTTCCTTTTCTTTTTTCTTCTTCATCTCCTACTGTTACTTTTCTTACGGATAAGGGGATTGGAAATTTATGAAAAATATTTTCAGTTATATTTTAGATCCTGTTATACTTGTCCTTTCTATCTTTTTTTTATAAATATAAAATGGAGAAAAGTTGTTAAGGGTTGACGTAGAAAATAGCTTTGATCAAAATAAATGGGATAAGGATGGAATAATATTTTGAATTGAAATAAAAGTAAACGACGATTTTAAATTTGATGGTCCAGTTTCTGAAAGGAGACTAGCTTGTCTGTTTGTCTCGGTGTTATCGATCCTTCTGCGCACTCACGTGAATCTATAAAAACGGAGTGCAACAACGAAGGGCTACTCGAAAGATATTGTAGTGGTGTTGTGTGGTAGAGACCGAGTGTACGTACGTAAAGGTAAGACGTGAGCTAAGATGGTGGGGATAAAGTAAGGGGAGTTTTACGACTGACATGAAGTAGACTCGAGTCGCGAAAGAGAATGAAAGAAAGAAAGAAAGAAAGAGAAATAAAAAGAGAGAGAGAGAAGGACGAAAAGAAGTCTTATTCTTTCTTTTATCCTATAGCGTAAAAATTACATGTGGGAAAACTCCACGATGCGAGACTGAGAAACATGTACGTTTGATCTCGAGTTCGC